ATTCTAGACATTGGACACTCAGTTATTTATACTGTTGTTTAGTTTTGCTTGGTTCAGATTGTGACTATGCCCTAGTTCTTCTCTCTTGAAAAAGGTATTTAATCTAATTTTGATTTCTTATAGGAGCCCACAGCCGAAAAGCCTTGAACTTTTAAAAGAGATTTTGGATTTTTAGAGAGATTGGATATTTTAAAGAGTCTAAAATTTTAATTTGTAAAGACTGTAATCAGTGAGGGAGGGCTCAGTCCATTGTGGGTGGTGCCATCTCTGGGCTGGTGGTGCTGGAATCTATAAAAAAAGCAGACTGTTTTGTTGTAACAATATAACCCAGACTAAGTTACTCATCTACTAACCTGTTTTGAAGACTATGCTAGGAGGGCAGGGAAACAAAATTACTTGCTTAAATCTGTTTGCATACTTTAGTTGGATCTTCCATATGCTATGGGATGGTTATTGCATTAAAGTGGTGTCTTAGTTAGGGTTGCTATTGCTGTGATGAAAGTCCATGACTAAAAGCAACATGGGAGGAAAGGGTTTATTTTGCATATGCTTCCACATCACAGTTCATCATCTGAGAACATCAAGACAGGAACTTGGACAGGACAGGATCCTGAAGGCAGAAGCTAATGTAGAGGCCATGGAGGGGCACTCTTACTGGCTTGCTGTTCATGGTTTGTTCAACCTGCTTTCTTATAGAACCAGGGCCACCAGCCCGGGAATGGCACTACACACAATGGGCTACATCCTCCCTCATCAGTCACTAATTAAGAAAATGTCTTATATGCCTGCTTATAACCCTGTTATGTGAGGCAGTCTCTTAATAGGGGTTCTTTCCTCTCGGGTAACTCCAGCTTGTGTCAGTCAAGTTGGTCTTAAAAACTAATTGGCACAGACAGTGTGTGAACTTGTCACCCAGTTGTGTGCTAGGGCTGGAGATAGAGCAGTTGAAGTGTGAACAGAGGGCCCTGCTCATAGTCAGGCTGGTGCCTGGTGCTGCCCTAAACCCAGCTGCTATGCCAGATACTTGGCAGTCCTCATCCTCGAAATGAGGAATATGAGTAAAGTAGTTTGGACAATTTACCATTGGGTTAATGGCATTTGGTTAGTAAAATGATAATTTTATTTAGATTTTTAATTATTTATAGGTACCAAATCAATAGGTTCAGCAATAACAGAATTAAATATGCATATATTTTAATATTTTCTCTTGGGACTTAATCCAGAGTTTTTTAAACAAGTGAGACGATGGGACTGATTTATACTGTGTGCTGCAACCCCACTGATACCAATGGATCTTACAGCATATCCTTACCTTGCTTTCCCAGGAAAGGACTTGCTGTGCCATTTGCGTTATAATTGCTTCTATATGTGTTTAGGGGATGGAAATTGTATGCTGTCCTATGCAAATACTGATTATTAACGTTGGCTTTTAAGGGGAGTTTTTGAAGAAAACATTTTAGTTCTAAATATTATTCAAAATTACATTGTTAATGTTCAAAAATGAGAAAATAATTAGAAAAATTTGACTATAAATTTATTTGATTGAAGGACCTAAGGGTCCTCTGCATCTGAAATTTTTGTCCTCAGTCATTTAGTCTTTCTTTGTAAGCATTAAATTAGGTATTCTAATTAGAGCTCCTGGCTGCAGTTAACATGTTCAGTTTTTGTGTATTTGGTTTAGTTTATCTACATAAAACAACTTGGTAATATGAATAGCATATTAGAATCCAAAATAAGCTTTTAGTCTTTTAAACCTAGCATTAAAAGATTTTTTTGAGTGATGTCAACTCTTAGATATAAGAGAAACATGGGTAATATTACAATGATTATTGTTTCACAGAGATAATATAAAAGTTCTATTTTATAATTGAAACTTTAAAATTAAGTAACTTTGTGATTTGAAAATTTTTTAACTTTTCACTTTTTACTTGGAGTATCAGCTCACTTATTCTGTGTTTGTGCATTTCGTATGACTTGGTGACATACTTTATGTCATCTCTGTATCTCTCAGTGGATCCCTCCCCTTGTGGTTTTGCTGCTTTAAATTCTGTTTTGTGTGGAACAAACAAATGTCTATGAATATGTATTAGAAACAGGTTTTAAAGTTAGTGAAGAGAATTTAAAATTAAGAATCAGATTTACTTTCTTTAAATTCGATATATTCCCTTTCTTATTTCTTTGATAATTTGAAGTACTGGCTTGTTAATTAAAACCTCAGAATGATTGAGTGCCTTTGCAGTAATCTCAAGTAAACGCTAGCTAGCATTGTGGGTCAGCTTGCTTGTTGCAGGCTCCTTTGAGCAGGTGGTTCTGTTACTTCCAGGAAGATGAGCACAGCAGAGAATCTCCTTTCACACATTTCCCTGTCAAGCATTTGGATAATGAACTATTGCCTGTAAAGTAAAACCAGCCCTGCTTATCACAGCCAGAGCATATCTTCTGATTTGTCCATATTCTTCGTTCCTTTTCCAGGTCAGCCACAGAGACTTGTTCCTGGTTCAGTACCTATTTTTGTGCTCTATGCATATATTTACATATATTTTATGTATTTACATATTTACACATATGTACAGAGACACAAATATAAACACATACATATATAAACACGAACAGTATTTTAAGATTCCATGGCCCCTATTAATCACTTTTTATTGGTTGGAAATCTGCCTGTAGCTTGTATTACAGGACATAGTCCTTTAAACTTTTCGAAGACATTACTGGAAGCCAGAAGTTCACTTGATGGTATTTACAAATATGATTTAGTGTAATGTATTGTCTGTCATGTTGTGACAAATGCTGACATACAGAGAATTGCAGCACTGTCAGTGGAGGATTGATTGGTCTTTAAGTGGTAAGGTGTTGTGTGGGAAGCTGACCAAAACTAAAGTGAGCTGGTTCTTAAGGAAGGGCTGGCAGAAGAAGGTGAGAAAGAGCATCATTCCATGTCCACAGCCATGGCTGCTCAGGCTGTACTCAACAGGATATAATGAAGGTGGGGTCTTTGAGCTGTGACCCAGAGAAGATGTGACTGCACTGCCTTTGAAGCTCAAGCTAAGGAAGTTAAAATTACTTGATAAACACTCAGGCACTCAAAGTCTTCAGTAAGGTGACTTGAAAAGGAAGTTCCTGTTTTCTAGAATATTGTTCTGTTAGCTAAATTTAGTAGTTGGGAGGCCAGGCAAGGAGAGGCCTTTGGGCGAAGCAGGTGAGGACAATCAGACATCAAAGGGCAAGTATATTCAGGAGTTAGACCCTACAGAAATGTCAATGTGGTAGTCACTCTGAAATTACAGAAAGTAGGGTATATCTACACTGCAGAAATTTCTTTGTCAGCGGACAGAAGATACTTAATACTTGCCTTTTGATCTATCTGTTGCCTCCAGTGGTTGGTTGGTTTAGAGAGAAAATGTAGAATGGGAGAGAGCCTCACAATAAATTAGAAGGATCTAAATACCTGCTTTAGTGCTCTGCCTGCCACTCACTGTCCCGATCTTGATTTGACTACTAAACTACTTCAAAGTAAGGCAAAGAAATGACATGTCCTCTTGCAAATGAATTAATTTTGTGACCTAATTTGATAAATCTAACAAGACTGTCTGCTCACCTCATTGTAACCATGAACTTTCATCCTGTCCCTTATGGAAAATGCAGCCCTTTCTTGTACACTTGGTTGACTTAGTTAAAATTTGCCTCTTTGACAGAGCATAGCATCTAGAGTTAAGCAAACATGTACAGCAGTCTGCTGACTTTGACCGTTTAGCTTGTTGAACGCTGTCTTCCCCAACTTCTAAGACATTGTCTCAATTTTGGAAGGCTTTTGCACCCCACCCCACCCCAGTGAATTTATGCTTATATAATTTAGAGGTAACTATTTTTACTCTATCTAGTATATTTCATGGTTCAACCAGATATTCTTCATATTGTGTAGGACAAGGGAAATAAAGCCCATTTATGCTTGTTTATAGGCACAGAGGGAAGCCAAAACACTACCAGCTTTACTACCCCTGCCTGTTTTCCTCTTGCTGAGACCCCAGGGGGAACAGCCAGTCAGTCACTCAGGACTTACGAGAGCCTGTATAAGCTGTTGGTGATTAATGGCTTGATAATGACCTACCCTATGTCCAGGGATTGGCCAGACCTCATTTTCTGTTGTTTGTTTTCATAATCAAACTTGAGAAGTAGAGTTGGGTCTCAGAAACCTTGGAAGCCCCATGCCACCCCTTGTGACTACATAGTGCTCAGCTTCTGGTCCACTTTCTTTAGCCAGAGGACAGCGTTATTAGACTAGATTCTTTATAATTTAGAAAAGGAAAGTTATATTCATCATATCTTCTCAGTCTCCAGTACAAAGTCTCTTGTGATCTGCTGTATCTTCAAATCCAAACTATGTGTGTCCTGTGTACTCTTCCTTTGAAAGCTCCCTTGTGGCCAAACACAGCCCTAGCTTCCTTTGCAAAAAATGTTTTATTTTAGCTTCAACAACAGAGAAAACATTCTTTACCTATTTTTAAAATAGGTTTCTTTTTGCGTTTTCAATCACTTTCCCAGTATGTAGGCCTTGCCTGTGGAGAGCTATGATCACAGTATGCATTTAGGAGAGTTGGAGGTGACCCTTATATAGAAGTCATCTGGCTAGGGCTAAGAAGGGAAAACAAAAAGGAGAGATGGATTTTGAAGTCTGAGTCTAGATTTCTAACAGAATGATGGGAATGATAATATTATTTTAACAGACATTTTTCTATACTCTGATGTTTCAAATGCTAAGGAGTACCTACTTTGGTGGTGTAAGGCAGAGAAGGCTCTGGTAATATCTGTGGGCCCTCAACCCTTTCCCTCCAAATGTGTACCACACATTTCGCTTTCTCCTCTCTGAAACTATGCCAAAGCATTAGAGCAGAGTGTTTTAAGGAACTTTTATATAAACACAAAATAGCCTATTAGTCATTTTGTTTATGATTGTCAGGAGTCATTAAGTCATGTGTGTGTGTTTTCTCTCTCAGGTTCATTTTCCAGACACTGAAAGAGCAGAATGGCTAAATAAGGTAAGATTAGCATATTCCAAATATTCAGTGGAAATTAGAGGGCCAGAGACCATCTTCCCATATTTGGGAATTTGTGTTAGCATTGAGTTCAGATTGCAATGAGCAGGCTTCCACTCCCCAGAGGACTGTTGCAAGCAGTGTCTGACTTTCCTTTAAGGAGAACAAAGTTGTGTCATCAACCTCAGAAGATTCGTGTGTGTGCTTGCATGGCATTGCCATCTGGTCTTATGTTTTCTTTCTTGAATAGAGGCCGCTCACATCTGCTTTATAGAAATCACAAGCAATCATTCTGGAAACATTATTATGAAAAGAAAAATAACTCCTAAGAAATTACCAGTCTGTAATACCTTTTAGAGGATGTTTTTGTTTCAGTAAGCTTTAGGTTGAATCTCTCTTACCTTGTGTTTTCATCATCTCTAAGGCAATGTGATCACCCTAGCTAGAAAGGAATCACCCTATAGAACAAGCTAATATGTGGTTATTAAAATGCAAGAGTAGTTACTGAAGTCCATGCCATTTTTGCTGGGTTTAGTTTAGTTTTATTGTGGTATTGAGATCAAACTGAGGGCCTCACTTGTCAAGAGGCAGGTGAGTCACTGAGACACAATTCCAGACCTATCTATAGCTTAAGTTTTCCCACAGTCATTTGAAGCCATGGGACTTTTAATGATTATTAGATGTGCAGACATGTTTAGACAGAATAGCTAAGTAAAAGTAGTTTATTGTTGAAGTAAATGCTTAATGTTTAGAACACATTTTGCAGGACTGATTTTTGAATAACAAGACCATTTCTCCTTTTGTTTTAGTTTTCAAAGCCAGACTCTGATAGACTATATGATTTAATCTTTCTTAGTGACTCAGCTACATTATGTATCATATATCACAGGAGCTACCTAACATGAGATCCTTTCCTTCCAGACTGTAAAGCACATGTGGCCCTTTATTTGTCAGTTTATTGAGAAGCTCTTTCGAGAAACTATAGAGCCAGCTGTGCGTGGAGCAAATACCCACCTCAGCACCTTCAGCTTCACGAAAGTGGATGTGGGTCAGCAGGTCAGTTCTCTCCTTCTTCAGTACCCTTCCTTTTGCACACAGTAGGATTGCTGAGAATGCATGTAACCACTCTAAGGCTCTGAAGGAAATTGTCCATTAGGAAGACCAATTAGAAAGTCGACAAATTTCTTAGACTCTTCTTCCCAACTGCATAGTCTGACTTTTCTTGCTTTTTGGGATGTGGGATTGTTGCCTCACTCTCATTGTGCTATTCTTTATATTTTGTTGTTTCTTTTTTACTTTTTAAAAATCAATGTTTATTTTTGTTTATTTATGTGTATGTGTGTCTGTGTGAGAATATGCTATACATACATGCAGGTGTTTGTGGAGGCCAGAAGATGGTATCAGAGCCCCTGGAGATAGAGTTACAGGCATTTGTACAAATGCCTAATGGGGGCAATAAGAACCAAAGTCAAGCCCTCTGGAAGAGCAACAGTGGTCTTAACTACTGAGCCATTTTTCCAGCCCTGTTTTGATTTCTTTTAAATAGTGACAATTTTAAATACAGTTTACTAGCCTTAATGTATGTATGTATGTATGTATGTATGTATGTGTGTATACATGTATCATGTATACATCTGTGTGTATTAGTGTACAGAGAAGTGCTTTCTCTGTATATATATACATATACATTTAAACAATTTTTTTATTGGATGTTTTATTTACATTTCATATGTTATCCCCTTACCCCATCCCCCACCCACCCAGGAACCCCCTATCCCCTCACCCCTCCTCCTGCTTCTCTGCGGATGTACTCCTACCTACCCCCCAACTCCCACCTCCCCACCCTCAAATTCCCACCCCCTGGGGTGTCCAGCCTTCATGAGACCAAGGATCTCTTCTCCCACCTATGCCGAGCAGGGCCCTCCACCCTTACATATACAGCTGAAGTCATGGATTCCTCCCTAAGTGCTCCCAGGCTGGTGGTTTAGACCCTGGGAGCTCTGGTTGGTTGGTATTGTTACTCTCATCATGGGGCCACAAACCCTTTCAGCTCCAACAGTCTTCACTCTAACTCCTCCATTGAGAACCTCATGATCAGTTCAATGGCTAGCTGTGAGCATCTGCCTCTGAATATGTCAGACTCTTGCAGACCTCTGAGGAGACATCTATATCAGGCTGATTAAATAAAAAGTTCTAGCATATGATTTATTTTAAGACAACATTGAGTTTTTTGCATTTATATGTACTATTACTTTTTAATTTTTTTGACCATTTCATGCTTGTATTGTATTTTATGCATGTACTGTACCATATTCATTCCCTCATAAGGTTATCCTATTCCCACTACTGCTGACCCACTTTTTCCTTCCAACTAATTCCCTTCTCCTTTTATGTCTTTCTCTCTCTCCCTCTCCTTCTCTTTCTGTATGTCTATGTCTAGTTTTTGGCTTCTTGAGACAGTCTTGCTGTGACAGACAGGCTGTCCTTTCAATACAGCTTGTAGACCAGGGAGATATTTCAGTGATTCCGAGCTCTTCTAGAGGATCCAGGTTTGATTCCTAGAACCCATAACAATTAGTTTACTGTCACCTATGGATCCAACTCAGAAGATCTGACACTCTCTTATGGCCCCAGCTTGCACATAAGTAAAAATAAGTCTTAGTTAAAAAGAAATACAACGTATTTTATGATCTGTCTTTTGTGGTTGCCTGTTCAATTATCTGTACCGTATATTAGGTATTCTTTTGAGACAGTGTCTCACTTTTTTTTGTTTGTTTGTTTGTTTGTTTTTGTTTTCGAGACAGGGTTTCTTTCTCTGTGTAGCCCTGGTTGTCCTGGAACTCACTCTGTAGACCAGGCTGGCCTCGAACTCAGAAATCCGCCTGCCTCTCCCTCCCAAGTGCTGAGTCTCACTTTTTAGCCAAGATTGGTCTTGAACTGGCAATCCATGTTTCAGCTACTTAAGTGTTGTGGTTATAGGCCTGCAGTACCACACTCAAAAGTGCTTATCTTTTTTATTTACTCAAAAGTCCAATTTTTGGGAAAATTTAAACTGAAAACTTGTTAAAAATAATTTTAAATAATGGAAAGTATTACTAAGGATAGAGAAGGAGAAAAGGATCAGATTAAATCAAAAGAGATAAGGGTAAAGGGGACTTCATAGTAAAAGCAAATGTATGTAGATAGAAAACTGAGAATACAAGCTAAATGAATTGTCAAAGTTAGACTGTGTTATAAAACCAGAATTATACTTGTAGTCTAATGCTTAAATTGTCGTTATTGTGTCTGTTGCTTTATTGTTGGGCTTGTTTGCTTTTAAGCCTTTTCTGTTGTAAATTAAGCTATTTCTTGTTTCAGCCCCTTAGAGTCAATGGTGTTAAGGTTTATACTGAAAATGTAGACAAAAGACAAATTATTCTGGATCTTCAGATTAGGTAAGTTTTTATTTGTGTTATGTTTTTGCCACGGCTTCTGACATAATAGTATTCATTTAGCAATATATATAAGATGAAGGATAAAATAAATATCTTGGCTTTTCTTCATTGTAATTTGACTAAATTCTTCTAGGTCTATATGTTAACAACCTTTGAGTTGCTAACAGTCTAGATAAGCATCATTCATTACGTGGAATGTGGCTGGAGAGCTGGCTCAGTGGTTACGAGCACTTGCTACTCCTCTTCCAGACAGCCTGTGTTTGATTCCCGGCACCCACATAGCGGCTCACAACCATCTGTACTTCCAGCCCCAGGGAACCCAGTGCCCTTTTCTGGCCTCCATGGGCATATGCCAGGTACACAGACATATGTGCAGGCAAAATATCCATACACATAAAACAAAATAAATTTTTAAAAATGTATTGATGAAAAGAAATTATTTACTCTGTAAGAAAACTATAATAAATAATTCTTATGAACCTGAATATAAAAATCCACAACAAAATATTAGCAAGGTAAATCTAGTAGCATAGATTATATGCCACCAACAAGTAGAATTTATTTCCAGAATGCAAATGTGATTCAAATATGAAAAACAATCTGTAAAATACACTACTTTATTTTAAGAAGGAAGTGGTGTAGTGGGTACGAGACCTTCATGGTTATCTCCATTGATACAGAAGATATATTTAACAGAATTCAGTATTCTTACATGGTTTAAAAAAAAGTTCAACCTAGGAATCTCAATTGAAAAGCAGTGTTTACAAATAATTAATCTTTACACACACAAGATCACAGAAAAATTTTAAAGCCAGGTGTGATGGCATCTAATCCCAGCACTTTGGAGGTAACTGGACTACATTTGAGTTCCAAGCTAGCCAGGGCTACATAGTAAGTGCCTGTCTTTTAAAACCAGAACAAAACAAAACAAAACAAACAAACCTCTTAAAACTAAAATGAAGGAGTGGCCGTCTGGAGACCATTCCACCTGGGTATCCATCCCATGTGCAGTCACCAAAGGTAGACACTGATATGGATGTCAGGAAGTGCATGCTGACAAGAGACTGATATAGCTGTCTCCTTAGAGGTCTGCCAGAGTCTGACATATACAGAGGCGGATGCTCACAGCTAACCATTGAATTGATCATGGGTTCCCAATGGAGGAGTTAGAGAGAAGGCTGAAGGAGGTGAAAGGGTTTGTGGCCCCATGAGGAGAGCAAAAATACCAACCAACCAGAGCCCCCAGGTTCTAAACCACCAGCCTGGGAGCACTTAGGGAGGAACCCTTAGCTCCAGCTGTATATGTAAGGGAGGATGGCCTTGTCAGGCATAGGTGGGAGAGGAGGTCCTTGGTCCTGTGAAGGCTGGATGGTCCAGGGTGGGAGAATTCGAGGGTGGGAGGTGGGAGGGGGAGTGGGGGTACATCATCATAGAAGCAGGAGGAGGGGGATGGGATAAGGGGTTTCTGGGCGGAGGGGGGGATAGGGTAAGGGAATAACATCTGAAAAATATAATATCCAATAATAAAAAAAACCTAAAGTCATCAAAGTAGCAAAATGTAGTTAAATCAATTGCATTTTTGTACATTGACAATGAAAAGTCCAGAAAGGAAATAAAGACAATCTTACTTGTAACAGGAGGAATAGATAGTTGTTGGTAAAATGGTTGCTTTGTTCAATCCGTAGACTCACTAAGGAAATGAGTATGGTGGTGCAGTAGTAGTCCCAGGATGGAGAAAGCAGAGACTAGAGGATCTCAGATGCTATGGCCAGACAGGCTAGCCCAAAGTAGTGAGCCCTAGACATCAGTGAAAGATTTTTAGAGTAAACAAGGCAATTGGCTATTAGGAGCTCAGTCGTCTTTTCTGAGGCTAGATGAAGAATAATTTTTTTTAATCATTTGTAAATTTCAAAAGTACACTAATATTGATAATTGTATAGACTTTTTACCAGTTATTTTTATTTTAGAAAGAAATGTTCAATGTCTTTGCTATGGGAAAGTCTTCATTTTTAAAATATTTGATACTTGTGTAAACATTATTGTCATCAGTGGAATAAAAGAGGAAGCACGTTTGTATGTCCTAGGTTCTCCATGCTCCTGAAGCCTTGTCAGCAGGCCTGGATACAAGCTCCATGGTGGTTCACCTGTGGCTTAGCTTAGGCCGTATTCCAGAAGCATGTCATGAGGGAGATGGCAAGCTCTGTGGGGATAGATAACCTTGTGCTCATTCATTGTTTTAGCATTAACTAAGTTGAGTAATTCCTTTAATACATATCAGGTAAAGAAGCAGCTTGAATAGCATTAAGTACTCTACTATATTGTATGCTTTAGACAAAGACCTTAGCTACATTGGCAGCAAGATGGACGAAAAGTTAAGAATTAGGAAATAAAGAAAGAATGTGTTAGGCTTTACGTTGTTTTAAAAGGAAAACAAATGACAGTTTTTCTTTTAATTTAATTAATTTTTTTAACTTATTCACTTTATATCCTGATCACTGCCTCCCTCCTGGTCAACCCCTCCACCTCCCCTTCTCTGGGCAGGTGGGAACTCCCCTGGGTATTCCCCTAACCCTGGAACTTCAAGTCTCTGTGAGGCTAGGTGCTTCCTCTTCCACTGAGGCCACAAGGAAGCCCAGGTAGTAGAACATATCCCACATACAGGCAACAGCTTTTAGGATAGCCTCCGTTCCAGTTGTTCAGGATCCACATGAAGGCCAACTGCACATCTGCTACATACGAGTGGGGAGGCCTAGGTCCCACCCATGTATGTTCTTTGGTTGGTGGTTCAGACTCCTAAGAGCCCCAAGGGTCCAGGTTAGTTGACTCTGCTAGAATCTTTTGAAAGCAGGGAACCAATTGGGAAACAACTTTTATAAGAACTGCTGTAGGCCTGTAGAACATTTGGTCTGTGAGGGCCCACTCATTGTGTGTATTGCCATCCGTAGGGTGGTGGTCTTAGGTTCTATAAGAAAGTAGGCTGAGCAAGCCATGGAGACCAAGCCAGTAAGCAGCACCACTCCATGCTTCCAGGTTCCTGCCCTGCTTGAGTTCCTGTCCTCACTAACTTTGATGAGTTGACACATGGAACTGTGAGTAAAGTAAACTCTTTCCTCCCCAACTTGCTTTTAGTCATGGTGCTTCATCACAGCAGTAATATTCTCAGATAAGACAGATGAAATCCCACACCATCCCATGTGGAATGCATTTAGGGTTTCATGTTTACATTGGAAGTAAATGCCTGGCTTGCATTATCATAGTAAAGAACCATTTGTTTTACATTTGTGTTTGAAGTTAATCTCTGAGTAAAGCGAAGGTTCAAAAAAAAAAAGCTGTTTTTAACCTTTAGTGCCATAAAACCCTTTAGCATCTGAGAGAGGATTTTTGTGACTAAGGAAAAAGGTGGTGAGATCTACTGTTGACAAAATAACCTTTGTTGTGTTTTAAACAAAGGTTTGTTGTACACATAAAAACACCTTCCATCCCAGGAGTGCTCCAAAAATAACACATTGTTATTCATATTTTTCTTTGAAGCTACCTGTTTACATGCTTTTAAATTTTTTGCTTTTTGAGATAGGATCTGAGCTCTCTGTGTAGATAAGGATGATGCCGTTTTCCTGCTTATTCCTTTGAGTGCTAAGAATCCAATGTATCCTCCATGCCTCATTTGTGTAAGACCGTAAGCCTCTTTCAGTATATGCTAGTTTACCAACTATCTCCAACCTCATCCATTTTGTTTGTGTTTGTTCTGGTTTTCTGAGACAGGGTGTCACACTGTACAGTCCAGACTGACCTTACACTGGTAGTCCTTGAGCTTCAGCCTCTAATGTGTTGGGTATCTAAATTTATTTAAGATTTTTATGTATGGCAAAAGTAAGAGCATGTGCACTATGCACAGTGTTTGTCACAGGTGATACAGCAGTGATGACCCTGACAGCACTGCGTCCATAAAGCCCAGACTAAGAGAATAATCTTGTGGTATCAGCTACATTGTCAATCCATTTTGCTTACAGTATGAACATGTCTATTTCACCATCATTTTGTCTGATTATGTACTTTGCAATGTCTGATCAAAATAGATAGCTAAGAGGATGATTAATTCCACTCACTTTATGTAATGCAGAGTTTTTCTGTGCTAGTTTTGTAGGAAATTGTGAGATTGATTTGGAGATCAAAAGATATTTTTGTAGAGCTGGTGTGAAAAGTATTCAGGTAAGTTTTTCAAATTTTCATTTTAGATTTTCTGTATTCAGAAAGAAAAGCTATGGAGTTTTTATTAGCTAGGAAGATTTTTGAAGTAATTTTGTATTTGTCGTTATAGTTGAATAAGGTGTGAAGCCATGAGCTTAAAAGTCACCAAGTGACTTTGAAGAGCTCTGTTTTCTGACTTGTGGTTTCTTGTCTGAATTCAGATTCATGGGACAATGCGGGTGATCCTGGAGCCCCTGATTGGAGACATGCCTTTAGTTGGAGCTTTGTCCATCTTCTTCCTTAGGAAACCAGTAAGTAGGCATTTATTTCATGATGTCATGTTTATCCTTCCTCTCTTGGTGGTAACATGGATACACAGAAGGATAGGGTGGAGGAACGAATTGAAGGCAGGGCTGTGTGTGCTGGGCAAGCTCTCAGTCTGGCCACACTTCTCTGCCTAACTGCATCCACAGGCACACACTGCCCCAGGAAGCAAAGTGGTAACTGTGTCCTCCACTTTTTCTTATTTTCCTTTTCTCCAGAATTCTATCTTGAGCTGTTTTGTGTCACTTATTTCTAGGTTTCTGTCTTCCAGGACTAGTTCCCACTGTAGTTTTGAAAGTTGTACAGCAGAGGCCATTAGTGCTAAAGTGAAGGGCACATCTGTTTCCAGAGTTCAGGGAGTCGAGGTGAGCTGATCTTAGGAGGGATACTGCTATGATCCTTGGCAAGGATCTGGGAAGGGACTGCTAACATCGTGTGTACTTTAAAATGGGGCTGTTAATGTGTATAATTTGGCTCAAAAGACCTATTGAAAATTATTGCTTGATTTTAAAAATACCATATACCTAGGCCAGTCCAAGTGCAGCATGGGCAGTGCTTTGTGCATGACATCATATTGTTGCCTTCAGCAGTGTTTTCTCTTCCTTACTTTTAATGTGTTCGTGTAGACAGTGTACATTACAATTCCAAAAGCTATCAAGGAGTACACTAATTTTTACTTTATTAAAATTTTGAGAAATAAATCTATAAAAGATTTAAAATACATCTTTTTTCTCCTACTTTTTTTTAAAAAAGCATTTTATGTAAAAACTGACTCCACTGGTGAGTATATACAATGTTCTTTAATACGCTGCTAAAAGCTTTATCTGTCTTCGGAAATATTCTTAATATAAAGATTAGAAAATTAAAACCAAGAGCTTTCGTCTGCCTCAGAACTTAACTGTGCTCTTTCATGATTTTGTTCTTCCACAGATGAAGGCACTTGTAGAGTAAGTTAACAGCATTAACTCCCAACGGGTGTTGGAATGCCTAGAAGAAAAGGATGATGCTGAAATGTTCAGTCACCCTTTTCCTTATATGGTGAATAAAGCCACTGAACATGCTTTAGCGGGAAGGGAATTTTCTTCAGTTACTTTCAGCTGGAAAATATGAGAACTTATTGCTGTTAGCTGCCAAATAATTCTTTCTGAGTCTGGTGAAAAAAATTCAACCAGAAAGGCCTTTTAGTTTTACTGGGTTTTTGTTGTTTGGTTGGTTGTTTTTTTTTGTTTTTTTGTTTTTTTGGTTTTTTGGTTTTTTTTACTACCCAGATGATTCAGAAACAAGTGCCAGAGACTGATATAAAACATATTGAATTTTGAATTGAACATTTCATATTGAATCTGCCTTCTAGTTTGTTTAATTAGTTTTGATAATGTGATACTTGTGGAGTGACCCCTGAAAATTCTTGACATGATAAAGTTTGAAGCCAAGTGAACAGTGCAGGTGGAATAGTGGGGCTATGCTTTGGAGACAGGGAGCTCCACAGTGTGGATTCTTGGTGGCAGCTTTGTACTGCCTGATCTCTACTTCTTGTCTTTTTTCCATGCTGTTTCTCTAAGTCCCAATCCCCTGTCTGTGACAGAGGAGTGACACTACCTCCTAGCTCACAATTAAATATCTGTGCTCTTAAAAGCACACAGTAAGCCTTTGCATTTTTAAAGAACTAAATATAGGTTAGCATTTTATTGAGGTTCTAACACTAGAGTGATGCTAGTGGAAGGGGAAAAAGTATGGATAAATATTCTGATAATGGATAGGATGGACCCCAGTGATGGAGTCCTTGTCTGCTGTGTGTTCGGCAATAGGTTTTGAATCCTTGGGAATGGAAAGAAAGCTTTGATAGCCAAAAGGAAGGATAGGGAGTTAGATAGCTTAGTCAGTGTCTGTTGTATATTTCAAGGACCTGATCCCAGATGCTGAACCTGTGTCAAAAACCTACGTATTGTAGCATGTGTCTATAAACCCAGTGCTGGGGGTTGGGCATACTGACAAGAATTTTCCCAGGGCTCACTGCCCAGCTGGTAAAAAAGCTGCTCTAGAAAGTTGGTCAGCTCTGTGTTTTGGGAGACCTTGTCTTAAAAGTGAGGAGCAATAGAGAAAGAAAACCAATGTTAATCTCTACCCTACACATGTACACATGCACCCGCACAAGTACATACATAAAAAAATAATAATAATTTAGAACCAGATGGATTCCTTCTCATCATTGGATATGTATAGGGAATTCAACCTAAGTAGTTAGATTTTGGATATGCCTAAAGAATATGTCCTAAAGGGTTTGTATCAATGCAAAACCACAGCTCTTATTTTAACGGGGATAGAAGATAGTTTATTTTGGAATCAACTATGAATGTCCTTGGCCTGGGAACACAGATTTAGGTTTTCCAAAATTCCATGTTCCAAATATGGTAACAGTTTGAGGAAGTTCTTATAGTAACAGAACAAAGTCATAAATAAAAGCACCTTTCAAGTAATTGGTGGAAATATTAGATAGGCAGATGAAAGCAAAGTAGTGCAGTCTCTGCTGTAGGTTTCAGACACTGTCTGATGATACTCTTAGTCTTCTGGCTGGTGAAAGCTAGTGGTCTCTAATACGTTCTAAAAGGTTTTCCCTATGAGTCACAAAGATGTGAAGTCAAACACAGAGTAAGCAAGAAGTGACAATTAAGGAAGCTAAAGGTAACCCAAAATGAATTATAATTAGATCCTGGTCCTGGACCATGCTAGCCCTACAATCACTGGTATTCTTATCATTACTCAGACTTACAGAAGGGGCAAAGGGAGACGTGCTCCTCTTCAGGAACTTTTGTTCACAAGGTGTTTTCAGAGTCTTCAATTAACCGAAAAAGAACAAGTTATGAAAGCAGGTCTTTTCCAGAAGTCCTCCACAGAGCAACCTAGGCTTGCTCCGTGTGATTTTCCTTGAAGACTTAATTTCAGCCAGGTGAAGGAGATTTCTTTGTGAAGTAGAACTATCTTCCTTTTAGAGTTATAATAGGAAGAACTTGAATCTTACTTGGCTAAAATCCCAGAACTTAAAATATTTTAAGTAAAGGGAATGTTAAAGAAGGAGAGAGGTTTCTTAAATGTAGAAATTATGTTTATTGTACAATTGAATCTCAGAACCAAGTTGGAATCAGTTTGAATTTTTTTTTGCAACTAGAGGAAGACAGTGAACTGTAATGGTTAACTGATTTTTGGAGCCAGTGGAAAAGCAGTGCAGTGTGACAGGTTGAGTGATCATAGCTTTTGCTTCATTCTCTCCCTGAGAGAATGGCTGTGGTTTTCCAGGCCGTATCTGTGGTCTGTGTGTGCTCTCTCCCCCACTTACTCACTCCTTCCCTCCCTTTCTCCCTTTCCCCTCTGTCTCTGTCTCTCTGTCTCTCTCTCTCTCTGTCTCCCCCTCTCCCCCCTCTCTCATTTGCGTAGACCAGGTCTGGAATTAAGAGAGTTGTAGTACAGAGGCTCATGCTCATTCTGCCATTCTTGCAGATAAGTCTGCAGTCAGGCCTGTAGATTCAAACCACACCTTAAGTAGTCCAGTCTTATTTACCATGCTGAGTTTACTCTGATCCTGTGACACCTATGGTTTGATGTCTTTAATAATTTGGACAGTTTTGCATACCCTCTGTAACCTTGTTCCCTCCTGAGTTGCAAGGTAGAGCTCTTACTGGCTGCTTTCCTTAGCTATGCTGAGGGTTTGCTACAGGTCTTCTGTAGTATAGGCTAAGCCTAGGATTGCACCCTGCCCCAACCCCCTACGGACCTCACTGCAAGGCTTTCTTTGTGCCCATCTACAGTGACAGCTGCTCTCCTTGGCTACAGTCCTACAGGAAGTGTTCTTTATGGCCTGATGTGTACAAAATACAGATGTGTATATACAGGTGGTTTCCATGCCCCTGTGCTGTGGATCTCACTCTTTGTCTTCAGCATTTCCTTGGAGTCTAGCATGAGTTGTCTCACCAGCCCCCGTGGAGGCTTACTCTTTATTCACACTGCTTCTGTCTCTCTTCTTCAGAGTTGCCTCAGAGAAAATATGTCACCTGATTGGGCCCCAAGGACTCAGCTTTCCTGTGCTGTCAGAATTGTGCTCTTTGTAGGTTTTTCTTTCTTCTTTTGCCTTAGTCATGAGGCTTTAAAACATAAGGAAGATAGTCTTTAGCTTTACTGACAGCCCAAAGCTACTGAATAAAAACATGGGCTAAAACCTCACTGAAGACTTGTGGAGCTAGCCATCAGTGTGCATTTGTAACCAACTTCCCAAATGACCTACCTGAGACATGTGCCAATTGATTAGGGTCAGTTGCTGTTGTCACACTATAAGCTTTACTACATCCCTCAGATAGCCCCATCTTTAAATAGTAGAGAAGAACATCTCTTGGTTTCTTTTTTACATTAATTTTGTGTGTGTGTGTGTGTGTGTACGTGTGTGTACACAGTGGTATACATGTCAAAGTCAGATGGCAAGTTATAGGAGTCAGTTCTCTCCTTCTACCATAAGTCCCAGGTCATCAGACTTGGAAGCAAGTACCTTTACACCCTGAACCATCTCGATGGCTCATCTCTGTGGTTTTTATGAAATTTGTGCACATGTTTTGTTGTTGCAGGTAAAGCATGACATTCTTTCATAAGCATTTCAGAATACTTTCGTGGACAGTATTCTGTATTGTGCTTCTGCCACAGCTCAGAGATGACTTCCTGTGTTTGGAAACACACATTCCTCGTATGCCCTAGCTTATTGAATTAGAGATCTTTAGTCATCCAGAGGCCCTGCCTTTCATTGTTCTAACATGAGTTTTTAGGGGAATCAGATAGTTGCATTTCCAAGGATGTTTCTCAAAGGGCTGCCATTCCTCCTGGCCTTTTTTCCTTGTGTCCTCATGAGCTTACCCCTTCTCACATATGCACTCTCTCACACGCTCACTTGCACTGTTCTATAGACTTGTTCTCACGCACTCGTGTTCACAAACACCTGCACTTTGACAAC